CCCCTGCTGGCCCCGGGGCCCGGCCAGGAGCCCCCGGGAGCCCGGGCCGCTCCAGGTCGGCCTGAAAAGCGCCGGCGCCGCTGAGCTAGAGGCTGCAAGGCCGGGTCGGAGCGCGGAGGGGCGGGAGGGGGTGGTCCAGGGGCGGCCCCGCTGGGAGGCACCGGCCTGGGGCTGAACTTCCTTCCCCGGCTCTGCCCCGAGAGAGCTTAAACCCCGGAGATCCTGCCTTGGATTATCTCTCGCGGCCCACCTCAGAAGACGCGGAAAGGAGTGGCACAGTGACTCTGAAAGTGACAAAAGACTGACAACACTTTAGTATTTAAACGAAGGAATGAGCCTGAGGAAGAAGTCCAAGGGTCTCTGAAACCACCTTGTTTTACTTTCCTAACAAACACACAAAAAACGACTTGAAGCCTTCAGCTGGCAGAGGCTCTGGGATAAATCCTAGGAACTGATTGAAAAGTCGTGGGTGGCACTGAGGACTTTGATTTTAAAGAAGGAGAGGAAGCCTTACCTTGCTTGCTGTGTTTATCAAATCGAGGGATGCTCTCCCCCATAATATTTAGAAAACCTGGAGCTGTTAGCCTCTGGAAGTGTCCTTAAATAAACGGAAGCAGCTGCTCACCCGGTCACCCTCCCTCTGACAATCATTGAAAAATGTGTTTCAGACGTGGAGGCTTTTTAAAATTTAGATGTCAAGGTGGGAGTAATATCTTTTCTAGAAGAGCTATTGAAAAATCATGGATATGTCTCTAAAGAAGTTTTATGGCCAACCAGCATATGGCTTTTGTGTTCGCCCAACCGGAGAGACCTTCCCGTATGTCTCCAGCTTGGGAAAGAAGAAATCCTCCAATTATTGCCGTAGTGCGGTGTATTGTTCCATACTTACATGTTTCCGTGGATTTTTTGGGGTTCCTTCTTCTGGCATCTTCCCAGATTTCCACTGACATGAGAAATAAAATTGTGGTTCTAAAAATCATTTGTGGTAAATGATTTAAAATTAGAAACGGTGCCAGCCAAAGGCACAAAAATGGCTTGGATCCAGTGGTTCTCAAACTTCAGGGTTTGTTAAAACAGATTCCTAGGCCCAACCCCACTGGGGTTCTGATTCAGTAGATCTGGGGTGAAGTCAGATAATTTGCATTTCAAACAAGATGCTGAGGGTCTAGGAGCACAGTGGTTTGGATCAGTGCTTGCTTCTCAAATTTAAAAGTTCATATGAATCATCTAGGATCTTGTAAAAATGCAGATTCTGATTAAGTATATGTTGGGTGGGGCTTCGGATTCAGAATTTCAATTAAGTTCTCAGGTGATGTGAATGTGCTTAGTGGACACACTTTGGTTAGCATGAGTTAAGGTTAGAATTCAGAAGATCCCACATTTGCTTTGCATCTGACTCACTCAATGTTCTGGACTGAATGTTTCTGTCCCCTAAAATTTGTAGGTTAAAATCCTAAACCCCAATGTGAGGGTATTAGGAGGTGAGCCTTCCAGAGGTGATTAGGTCGTGAAGGTAGAGCTCTCATGAATGGGATTAACGCCCTTATACAAGAGATTTCAGAAACCTCTCTCACCCCATCCACCATGTGAGGACACAGCAAGAAGATGGCCTATGAACCAGGAAGCGGGTCCTCACCAGACACTCAATCTGCCAGCGCCTTGATCTTGGACTTCTCAGACTCCAGAACTGTGAGAAATAAATGTTTGTTGTTGAAGCCACTCAGTCTGTGGTAATTTGTTAAATCAGCCCAAGACAGCCTCAACTAAGATGCCTGGGGAGCCAGCTACCTAACTTACCCAGACTTTCTGTTTTAATCTTTTAGAAACAGAGCCCGGGAAGCTGTATTTAAACAAAACAAGAAAACAAACAAGGGCCAGCCCCCGTGGCCTAGTGGTTCGGTTCGGCGCACTCTGCTTGGCCAGCCCAGGTTTGGTTCCTGGTTGCATACCTATACCACTCATCTGTCGGTGGCCATGCTGTGGCAGTGGCTCACATACAAAAAGAGGAAGATTGGCAGCAGAGTTAGCTCAGGGCAAATCTTCCTCAGGAAAAAAAAAAAAAAAGAAAACAAACAACTAAGTGAGTATGATGCACACACTTGATTTACAGAACCACTGATTTAAATAACACCAAGTAATGTAAGTAAGTACCGAACAATGTCTGCTTGTGCCACCCTAGATTGGAAAAGGTTGAGAGTTGGGTAGAATGGATAAGTCTTAGAATCCTGGGCTGATGTTTTAGTGGGGAAACACGTTTTTTTCATACATAAAATGAAGAGAAAATAATACAAGTACTCTGAGACTTGTGACTGTATAAATAAGGCTCTTTGTTTTAAACAAACATCTGCATTTACTACATATAGGAATGGCCTGCTTAGAAAGTCACCCCGTGACGCTCTCTAGCACATTTATTACACTTTCCGTACTTGCTGTGCTCTCCATCTGGAATATGTTCCAAACCATTACCCCACCCCAGGTTCTCCCAAGTAAACTCCTCATCTTCATTCAAGCGCTAGATCAAGGTATTACTTGCTCTTTTCACTCCGAATTTCCTTGGCAGATTTACACATTCATTTATTTATTCAAAAGTTTACGATTGTGCCAGGAAATGTTCTAGATACTCCAAGGACAATGACAAGCAGAATAGGCAGCATTCGTGCTCTCAAGGACTTTATACTGTAGTGGAAGCAAGATAGATAATTCAAAAGCAATCAAACTAATGAGAGAATTTCAGGTAGTTACAGATTTTATGAGGAAAATAAAATAGGAAAATGCCATTTAGTGAGTAATTATTGAATGAAGAATAAAAGCTACACTAATTAGCAGGCCTACTCTCAGGGAAATGTTGAAAGTAGGTGTCAAGTTTTATTTGTTTCCCACTTGGATAACTAATTGACCCAGGACCATTCATTGAAAAGACCATCCTTTCCTATTGCTCTTATTCAAGTGTTCCTATAATAAGGGGTCTGTCTCTGCTCTCTTCTCTTCCATTAGTCGATGTGTCTGTACTTGCACCAATTCTTACCTGCCTTAATTACTGTAACTTATTATAAGTCTTCTTTTCTAGCAAATCAAATCTTCTCATTCTGTAATTCTTTTTCAGGTTTGTTGTAGCCATTCTTGTTGATTTGCATTTCTATACAAATCTTGGAATTCACATCTCAATTTTCATAAACACACCTGCTGAGACTTTTGTTGGAATTACACTGAATCTATAGATCAATTTGAGGAGAATTGAAAACATTGAGTTTACAAAAATGTTGACATGATATGTATGTCATTTACGTAGGTCTTAATATCTTTCAATAATATGAAGAGAGGTCTGAATTGTTTGTAGTTGGTATAAATAAAAATAAAATTGATTTGTGTAGAATGAATTTAGATTCAAAGACCCCGATAAATCTGTTTGTTTATAGAATTATATTTTCTATGTACAGAAACATACTGTTTTTTTCTTACTTTCTAATCCTTATACATTTTGTTCCTTTTTCATATTTTATTTCACTGTCTAGGACTTCCAATATAATTTTGAATAAAAATGGAGATAGTAGGCAACCCAGTTTTTGAGAGAAAATTTTCAACATATCCCCAGTATTTTATTTCAATAAACTTTTCATTAGTATTATATTAGAATAATATTAGATTTACAGAAAAGTTCAGAGATAGTACAGAGATTTCCTGTGTATCTTATACGTAGTTTCCCCTGTTGCTAATATTTACATTAGTATGGTGCATTTGTCATAATTAATGAACCAATATTGATAAAATTAACTGAAGTCTTTTATTTAGATCTTGTTAGTTTTGACCTAATGCCCTTTTTCTGTTCCAGGATCCCATCCGGGACACGACACTACATTTAGTCAACATGTTCCTTAGGCTACTTTTGGCTGTGACAGTTTCTCAGACTTTCCCTGTTTCTGATGACCTTAACAATTTTGAGGAGTACTGGCAGGGATTTTGTTGAATGTGCTCCTCATGATTAAATTAGAGTTATGGATTTTGGGGGAAGAAGACCACAGAAGTCAATTGCCACCCTCATAAATCCTATCAAGGGTGGTACATACTATCAACATGATTTATCGCTGTTGATGTTAATCTTGATTACTTGGCTGAGGTAATGTTTGTTAGATTTCTCCACTGTAAAGTTACTCATTCCCCACCCTTTTGTATTGTTCTCTTTGGAATGAAGTCACTGAGCATATCCAACACTTAAGGAGAGGGGAATTACGCCTTATCTTTTCGAGGTTTATTAACAATTGATTCAATTTCTTTAATAGAGATATAAATATTCAGGTTATCTGTTTCTTCTTATGTAAGGTTTGGTAGTTTGTGTCTTTTAAGGAACTGGTCCATTTCATCTAAGTTATTAAATCTGTGGGCATAGAGTTGTTCACAGTATTTCTTTATTATTCTTTTCATGGACTGGGTAATGATGATTCCTCTTTCATTTACTGTATTGATCATTTGTCTATTTTTTTTTCTTGGTTAGTGAGGCTAGATGTATGGATTTTATAGTTTTTTTTTCAGGGAATTAGCTTTTGGTTTTAATGACTTTTCTCTATTGGTTTCCTATTTTCAATTTTATTGATTTCTGCTCTAATTTTTATTATTTATTTTCTTCCTCTTGCTTTAGGCTTAATTTACTTTTCTT